TATCAAATGGCAGGCGTCTTGATGGTTATCATTAGCCCTTTAGTTGACTTCAGGCTTCACAGAGGGGAAGGAACATCAAATTGAAAAAAGTCGAGAGGGGGGGGGAACAGAAGAGTGTTTCAAAGATGTAAGAGACAAACACAAAGGTAGATGAAAGGTGAGGTGAGTACTGTGGAAATAGTCGAATATGGCATAGAGTGTGGTGGTGGCAGTTTGAAGTGAGAAGTCAACTGCCAGTTTATAGACATTTTTTCCGTATGAGTATACGTTGCCCAGGGTGCACCACGTGGAGGTAAGTCTATCGCACACCCAAACTACTCAACATAAAATAACTTTTTTTGGCAGTGGCTTTATTTTCACTTGAACTTTAAAATTTCTAGACTTTCATATTAGTACAATTTTTAAAGTTTATCACAAAGCACAATTTTAAGAATATTTTCTTAAAATAAGTTTTTGATATTATGCGATTCTTTACCAAATAGCAAACGTCTAAATAAAATTACTATAACATCGGGACTTTCGATTGCTCTCCTGCTATATGATTCAACTATTGACCTCAGCTACACGAATACTGCATGCATCATTTTCCGAATTTTCTGCCTTGAATACAGTTTTAAATCAATAGACTATGGAAAAAACTACTTTTATTTCGCATTACAAAAAATCGCTGGCAACTCTGATATATGGGCAGATGTTAGTTGTCGCTCTAATTAGAATTTCTTAATATATATTTTTTCAAGTTTAGATAAAATAATCGGAAATTTAAAACAGCTCATGGTCGGAGAGGGTAGTTAAGTGAATACAGTCAAGTTAACAACTAAAATTCCATTCTTTTCAAATTAAAAATTGGTCTCTATTTTAACAATAATAATAATAATAGTACGGTTTAATCAGACATTTCTAATTAGAAGTTTGAAAGGGGTGGGGGCTGGAAAAGTTTGACGGTAAATGCTATTGTTCAGGCAAAAGAAATCAATGTTCAGTTAGTCAAATCCAAAAGCTGATCAACTCGGTGAGAAGTCACTTATATATAAGCGGCGGTAATAGTGGCTGCAAGAGGGAGAGAGAGAGAGGCGGTTGCCCAGGTGTCATTGTGTTCAAAATCAGCTTAAACCATTGGGGTAATTGGTGAAGAAGGAGAGAAAAATTTAACGGACGCAGCTTCTACAAGTCAGCTGGCTAATAACTTATAAAATCTACCTATAATACATATCTATCAGACAATTTTGATAGGAATCAATCGCATGCACAAGAAATCGTCTAGGTTGCTCAGTTTGACAAATCAAAATGTTAAAAAAAATAAACAGCCTGCCAGTAAGTATTCAAGATAGTTTCAATTTAAACTAAAAATAAAAATGTCAAAATGTGGGTAGATAAGTAGTTATTTATAATTTTCTTCAACTTGCTCATTTTCTCTTTCTAAACGGCAGATGGCATGTGTCTGAAAAGGAATTAGGATACCTTTTGATCAAAATTCACCTAATTTTTATTGTCTTTATCTTGGGTGCTCCGTTTAGGTGTTCGAGCCTTTCAATGCAGTGAATGCCAAAAGAGTTTTTCGCGGAATTCGGATCTGCAGAAACACATTGATGCTGTACACAAAGGTCTACGGCCGTATGAATGTATAACGTGCCAAAAACGCTTCTCCCAGAAGTCTAGTCTCAAACGCCACCGGGAAGCCGTTCATGAAGGTAAATTTTCCGGAATATTTACCCAGTTGGTTCAAGTTCATAATCAATCGCATTGTTTTTGTCAGATTTTGAATTCGAAGTAATATCACAGATAAGTAGGAGATTTATAGTTGAAAACCCATTATTCGCAAAAATGAACTAGTTCCTTTGCTCTATCGACCAGATCGCTGTTTAACTGCCAACAAAGACTTCCCTACCAATTATCTTAATTCTTATTGAAAACGAAGATGGTTGAAATCACACCCAAACTCTAACGTCATATTCATTGCGTTTATGGGAACCGTGTAAGCTCTCGAATAAAATGCATACATGATTAAAGTTGATAATTTAAGTTCACGAAATAATACTTTTTATCATATAAATCTCACTGGAACAAATTGTCGAAGCTATTGCTGAATGGTAAAGTTTTTAAGATCACCTCTAAAACAATACCTTCCTAGCTAAACCTGAAGGTTTACATATTGAACCCAAGATACAAAATAATTAATGTGGAATTTTCTGATCCTAAATCATTCGCATACTTAATTGAGCTAAAAGTCTAAAACACAGGGCCTTAATTTCAAGCATCAGTAAGTTCCTTTTTCAATGTTTCCGACGAAGAGGAAAACTTTTGCTTCATGCTATGCAATTGAAGTAATAATCGGATGTTGGCTGCTGGAAACTTCTTTTCACTTGTTTAAGGCTCAGAAAATGTTTGGGCCAGTGGTAACTGTCGGTACCAATGAGGGAGAGTCTCTCAGGAAAGTTGACTAACAGAGGCGTAACAATGGCAAAGAAAATCAAAAGATTGAAAGAAAAATGATCTTTTCTGGACAGGAGATTAATGTCCTTGTGACCGAGTTCGTTGCTGCGCGTTCACAACAAAACATATGTGAAACAATCCGTCACCCTCCTCCAAGTCTTGAAGTCGATTTATTCTGTTTAAGACATTGCATAACCGAATACAAGTAGTAGAGTTCAAAGATTAGCCTGCCAAGTGGATAATACATTGAGACGATATTTCTTCCCATTCTGCGATCTATTAATTTGCACCCATTTAGCTGATAAAGTGAATTCCTTTTTATATGCATTTTATTTGACCTATTACCTACATTAGTCCTAAACTAATCCCTTTACTAATTAATCATCCAGGTATAAAAGCGTTTCAATGCACTCACTGTTCTGCGCGGTTCTCCTACGATGTCCATCTGAAGCGCCACACACGAGCTAAGCACAAGAACCTCGGCTCAAATAGCAACAACAACAATGGTGGCGGTGGCAATTCAGCAACCACTACAATGGCCAGCCTCTCCTCCAATAGTTTGCCTTCTAGTCCTGTCTTCCAGCCCACTTCTCTGCGCCAGGCCTCAATTTGAGACCATACATCCGAATCCACCCGATCAATCTCTATAACACTAACTACCTCCCATAAAACTTGCTCAGGGACGGTGTCTGCCGTACACCTAATCATCGCCTTAGCATCTCAGGTACCTATTTGCTCTCAAGACAACGGACATTCTTCAGGAATTTTTCTTTACTATAGCAATTCTGTCCCCCTTTCTCTCTATCTACCTGCTTGTCAATCTGTTTTACGCACCTATTTTTAAAGTTGGTTATCTGATCATCCTCGTTCTTTTTCTATCCCAATCCTTAAATCTCCAACTCAGGACAACTTGCTATTTTTGCTGAGATTTTATTC